TTGAATTCCCCCAATAAAGCAGAGAGAGAGCATCCAGCACAGCAAAACCAAAAACTGACGGACAACATCAGCAATGAAATTAGGTGACAAAGTAGGCTCACCAATCCCAAAATATGGCCTGTCAAATTCATGACCATATGATACTACAATCTTGGCAAGAGAAAAAAGCAAGCAATGGGGTTTCTGATGGAAATGCAACCAGCTTAACACCTGAATTGCCAACAGATACTCATGAGAAATGATTTCAGGCCAATTTGATAATAGTAACTGAAACTGAGAGAAGTATTTTCATACAATCCAATTTGCTAGTCAGTGAAAAGTCTCCTCTCTAATCTCTGATGGGTCTAAACACTCTCCAGCCTGTGAATTCTTAAAACTTACTAGCTGAAGCTCCTTCTCAGGAGAAACTTCAAGGAATAAAATCCAAATTGAGGAGGTAGGTACAAAGGGACAAAGAAAATGGAAAGTTCAGATAAAACTGGGAGAGGTGAAGAGAGCCAGGAGATCTCAAAAAATAGAAGGCAACTTTTTTCAACTCTTCAAAAAAGTACAGGAACAGACTAGACTTGTGAAGTTAGAAATGGTCTTCTGTGTAAACATTTCCTGTCAGAGACAGCTGGAAACATTTATCCTTAAACATCCCCACTGGGTAAAGGAGAAATCAGCTTTGCTATGAAAACCTCCTTAACTTTCCACCAGAGTTTTCAAAATGATTCACAAAATAAATAGGCTTCCAGCAAGCAACTACTCCATTGTGTTCTCCTGATACAGGGAATTTCAGCCCTGATTATACATTTGAATTATCGGGGGCACTTTAAATTACATTCTGGTCCTACTCCAGACCATTTGGATCAGAATCTATGAGGGTGAAGCAAAGCAGAAGTGTATTCTAAAAGCTTTTGAGGTGTTATTAGGCAGCCCAGGTGGGAACCACTGAAAAAGTTACTTCAAAAAGGAAAAGTACTTGTAATGTCACCATTCGACACCAAGACACTGTATACCATCCTCCAGAATGGTGGTTGCCAAACTTCGTACGTTGGAATGACCTGGGGAAATTTAAAAATGCCTGATGGCCATATTATCTCGTATACCAATGAAATGGGAATGTCATAAGAATGTCTGTGCTTGGGTACCAGCCGTCAGAGGAGTTTAAAGATGCCAAGTGATTCTGCCCTCTCCCCCCCCAAAAAATGAAAGAAATTATCTCCTGATCAAATCCTCCCTCTTAAAAGATCAAGAGAATTGGTTTCATGCCAAAAAAAAAAAAAAAGGTAAGGAAAAGAAAAGGATAAGAATAATGACAATAAAGAGTAGAATATCTCTACAAAAAAATGAAAGCACACCAAAACTTTATGCTCATAAGACAGAGGAAAATTGTAACCTAATATTTCAAAATGAACTGAGGCAAATTTTATAATGATAAAATATATAAAAGAACAACATAAATCAAATTTAGAAGGCCCTCTGCAACAAGGGACTGAAATGTGGGAAACAATTAGAAATTAAAGAATGAAACATTTCAGAAATGAAGGCTGAACCTGAAAGAACACATGAAGTTAATTACTCCACAAGAAAGAGTTTTAGAGGGGAAAGGAGGAAATGTTTAAAAATAAAAAAAAAGAAAGAAAGACAAAACTACTGAAAAGAGAGTGACATTTATAGAAGGTAAGCAAGAAGATTCAAAATAACAGGATTTCCTAATGAGAAAAATTTCAAAGCAATGAAACAAAATTAACATTAACTCAATATTTGTTCCATTCAATAAGATTCAATTATATATAATACAATATATTTATGTCTTGAAAATAAAACTGGAACTATATATTAAAATGGAACACCACATAAGTAGAAGAGTGAAACAGGATGCATATTAAGATACATTCTAGTAAATTTGTTGGACTTAGTTTGGCATTCAGGCAAATAAATATCTCTAAGAATAAGGGAAACAAAACCAGATTATCATCAGACTTTACAAAAGCAACTATTTATGCTGGAAGTGAATAGAGAAACATTTTAAAGACACCCAAGGAAATATAATGTGAGCCAAGGATTTCAGATCCACCAAAATGATTTTCAAGTATAAAGACCACAGATATAATTATTAACATGTATGAACTCAGAATATTGGTCCCAATAATTGGGAACATCATTCACCCACTTGATCAGTCCAAAACCTTAGAATGCTTCATAATGTCTTTTTATTTTTTCTTTCCTAGCTCATGTCCAGTTCAACTGCAAGGACTACTGGCTACCTTAAAAACATCCCAAATTTGACCTCCCCAACTCCATTGTTATCCTGCTCTTCCAAGTAACAGTCATCTCTTGCTGGGGTGACTCAATAGTCCCCTTATTTGCTTCTCTACTCCCAGTCTTGCCTCCCTCTAATCTGGTCTCCATACAGCAGCCAGAATAAATTATTAACATTTCACCCTTATGCTCAAAAACCTATGATTCCTTACATTGGTCAGTTCTGGAGACCTCTCTAATCTGCCCCTTTGCTCACAGCACCCTGGTCACATTGTCAGGCCCATGTTTCACTCAGTTTTCTTAGCTGCAGGGAGCATCCATCTGCTGTTCCTCTTTCTGGAATATTCTTCCATAGGTGGAAATAGGGCTGCACTCTCCCTTCGGTGAGGTATCTTTCCGGGTATCAATTTCTCCCAGTGGCCTTTCCTGGCCCCAAGCAGTATCCCTTCTGTCAGTTTCTCAACCCTTCCTGTGCTTTGTATTTCTTTCTAGGACTTCCTGATATTTTGACATATTACAAATGTATTTGTTTATTGCACGCCTCCCTTCTACAATGAAAACTCACGATGGCTATGTTTACTTTTTCACATCTGCATCCTCAACACCTCAAATGGTGCTTGGCATGAAGTAAATGTTTTCTCAATAATGTTTGTTGAGTGAATAGATGGATGAATTCATAAGAGATATTACGGGCCAAAAAACCAAAGTATACCTATTATATAAAATAGATCAATAATAGGTTGTTACTGGGGAAAGTATTTTGGAAGTATTCTTAAATTTTGTGCTTAATTTGTCAAAGAGGAGGATAATACACATTTACCTTATGTCCCTTCAAAATGCTACTATCAGAGTTTTACTGGACTAAATATTGGTTTAAATCTTATGTTGTCCATTAAAGGGGGGGGAACCTTACAAATGATTCAGCCTGTAACTCCTGTAACTTTTAACTAGTATCTATTCAAGTACCATGCACCTTTAAGTCAGACTGCATAGTTTACATCTAAAGGTGAATTAATCATTTTGTGAGACAGTTAACTCCTCTATGTATTAGAGTATTACACTATTTTACGCTTTTTTAGGATGAGAAATAATAATAAGAACAAATAATTTATTGTTTCTCAAGAAGTCTACCTTTTATAAAAAGCTAACAAGAAAAGTCTGATGTAAGGGATTTTGAAATAATTCAACTGATATGTTATATATTGGTCAGACAATGCGAAACATAGGCAGACTAATTTACTACATCATGTATCAATTTTTACCTTCTTCAATCCAGTCCAGCTACAGTTCCTAAAAAATCTTTAGCCTATAGATTCAGTCTACTCCAAAGCCTGAACCAACCTAAATCAGACTGAGAGTCCATTTCAGCCCTAAACCCACCAGTATGGGACTCAGGCATGATTTTGCCTCCTGTGCTTGTAACCTTCCCCACTAATATTCACAGTGTATTCTGCCCTTTCTATGGGTTGCTGCTCAGATTTCTTGATGAAAGGGTCTATAATTCTGCTCTAAATCTCAAGCCATTGGCACAGGGCTTGACCACTCTACTTAGCTCTGTGCAACCGTTACCAAGTGTGAATTCCAATCCCCACTATTCTCAGTTGCTAACTGGAGCCTTACTGCAGATCACACCACTCTTCCCAACTCTAGGAACAACACTGCCTGACCATGGGGTTCTGCACCATACAGAAAAGTGAACTATATAAACGTAATCCAGCCTCTATATAAGTTTCTAATCATATTCCTTTGTCAATAGGGAGAAACATGTTCCTAAAGCATAGATCACTAAATGGATATACACAAGTAATGTGTGAGTGAACAACAAAGTATGTGTATCTGAGTAAGAGTCAGAGATAAAAACTTTTTGGAAGCAGAGTAGACAAGCGTAAGAAATACTACTTGGGGTTGAGACTAAGGAAAAAATCTAAAACATTCCACCTATTAGAAAGGTTTTTCTTTTTTGCATTTACTTGGGGTTGATTTAGTAATTTTGGCATCTTTAAACTCAGTAAATGGCTTTTGTGATTAAATTTGGCTCAAATATGTATTAACATTATGTTAATTATGCAACTAATGCAGTGTTTGAATGTAAACCATGAATCTTATGTTTGCAGTTGGCAATTTAATCTTGTTTTTGAGGCATTTTTCATGTGAAATTACCATGTAGCCTTGTAATAGCTTTTCTTAGGGTGAACTGCTTTCCATGAAATTTGGCACTGGGAATAGAAAAAGATGCATGCATATATTTTAGTTAAAGAAATAAACCATGTAATTAATCTTTATTAATGTATAGAATGGAGCATCTAGTAATGAACCAACTTAAAAAACATAAATTTGAATATGTAACTGATTTGTTTCTATTCTTTTGCATATGGCACTATAGGACTTATAAACACACTATGGTTAGTTGAGTGGAATTTGGAAATTGTCTTCATTTTAAAGGGATTTGCGGAAGAATTTCTAATTTGTGATATTAGATGTTTTCTTCTCTTATCAGGGAGTGCTGTAAATAAGGAGTGCCTCTTGACTGGTTGCTGCTTACAATGCCAGCGCTATTCAAGTTTATATGAATAGGAGTTCAGAAACTTGTACCGATCTCAGAATGGGCATAGAAAAATAAAAATAAATATTTACAGCAATGTGTTCTCCTTGGAGGAATTTCCCTACAACCCTGTATTATTTTGTTATCAGTATGCAATTTGAAAATATCAGAAAGATTTTCTGACTTGTATCTTTGTGTGTATTTCCTTTAGATAAGAAATGTTGAAACCAACCAATGTTTAGACAACATGGGCCGCAAGGAAAATGAAAAAGTGGGTATATTCAACTGTCATGGTATGGGAGGAAATCAGGTAAATGCTCCTTTTTTTTAATAGCTTCATATTTTGGGAGAAAAATATTAGTGTGAAAACTATCCAGGCTCACTGCCAATAACAATATGTCTTAGTATAGTGAATTTATGGGCATTCTAATCAAGAATTAATTTGCCTATTTTATTATCCCGAGTATCTTAAGAAGGCACCACAGAATTTAGTAAAAAAAGGCAACATCTTCAATGAGCCAATAGTGAATGAGGACAGCGAAATGTTTCAGACACATCTCATGTTACCATGTCTAAGAAAATGAGGACTACGTTTTATTCTGTCATTAACTAAATCATACAAAATAATCACTCCACAATTATGATGTTTTCACAATGGTGATTATCCTAAACTTCTTTTGAAAATGTTTATGTATTTCATGTTTTCTATGAGTTTGGTTGGTTTAATAACATTTTGAAGTGCACGTCAGATAACATGTCTGTTACATCTGCCTTGGCTGTATGAAGACGCCCTTTGGACCAGGTAAAAATGACTTATACTTGACTGAAGTCTAGGACACCTTTTTTGTGTGTAACAGTCCAATTAATTATCAGAAATGTATCAGACTATAACAAGGATTCTTGTGCTAGCAGTAAGCATCAGAAAGTGGCAATGCAAGGTGGGCCACGTGGAGGTTGCTTGGCTCTGAGTCTTGCTGCCATGGCCACTTTGAAAGACAGAATTTGGAGCTCATGGGAACTTAGAGCAGAGTTTGAGATAGCTGCTCTTCTGCAGACAAGTTGTCTGAAAAGAGTCAAGGAGAAGAACACCAGTGAGTTCTTTATCTAGTGCTTTAGAGTGAACTGAGGAAGGAAAAAATTATCCTATCCAGCACAACATGATAGTTATATTGGCAATGCAGCTGAATGTATCAGGAATCCATAGAGAAAAAGCCAGAGGAAACAGCTCTGTTGAGTTTTGGCACTGTACTTCAAATGGGATTTGTGCAATTCAAGGAAGAACATTAAAAGGCATTTTCTCCCTAATAACAAACGAACAAATAAAAACAACTTAATTATCAAAATCCTAATTAGTGCTCCACAGTTTGCATATAAACAAGAAAAATTTGAGCCAAAAATTTAAACCAAAATTTCTAAATTATAGCATGGAAAAGTGACTTGATGAAAGATGATAAAAACAACAATGTAGGCAGAATGATGACAGAGCATTCAGACACAGTCCAGCTTACTGTATCAATTCACAATGAATGTGAGAGGCTTCTACTACGTAAAACCAGTGGAGTCTTGGTGAATTCAGCCAGAAATGGCAAAAGCTTAACAGTCAGAGGACTGGATGTGTAGGGTTTAATTTTTTCACATAAGAAATCCAAAAGTAATCAATTGTTGATAATTCACACAGATCCTCAGTGATTCCACCAAGAAACCAGAAATTCTCTGTCTTTCCATTCTTCAATCTTTAAAGTTAACTTTTATCATCAGCTGATCACAAGAGGTCTGTTGAAACTCCAGATTCCACATTCAAAGCAGAAAGAAGCTGGGGCAGAGAACAGTTTCAGTAGCCACCTCTGTCCTTTTATTAGGAAAAGCAAATGCCTTCCTTGAGACTCAGTATACCTCAGTATATCTCCATGTATGTCTCTTTGGCCAGAAGTGTGTTACTTGGACGCCTCATGGCACAAAAACACTAAATACTTCACCTCACACTCACACATGGCTGCTTCTCACAGTTTATTCATCATGGCTGTTGGGTGGACATTTAAAAAGGTCTCCCATAATGTGTTTCGACAGCTTATGATAAAAGTTAATTTATCATCTGCATCTGGATTACCTACAGAATTCAAAAAGAGAAACATTTATGAGATCACTCTGACTTCGATGCAGATGAAAATGATGGAGAAAGATCCTCTAGATGGATTATCCTCATGGATTCATTAAGGTGCCATGGTTAGTAGTAAAAAGAATAACCAGTCATATACTTGTATTTGTTTAAATGACATGAAACACCTGGATCATAAACGTTAAAAAATTACATTATTCACTTACAAGTTTTCAAATATCCAGAAATAAGCTACCCTACTCTGCTGTAAACTGCTTGTCGGTGGGGCTATATCTTATTCCTCTCTCCATCTCTAGTACTTGGCACTTGGGATATGGTAGGCACCTAATAGATACTAGCCAAGTAAATAGATGAAGGAATTCATGCTCAGAATAATGGATTTGTACCTTAGTACCATGTAGACATTGCCAAAGAATGCTGTTATTGTCATAATAACCAAAACTATAGAAAGATACCAATCTCAGGGATTCATAAATAAAAGGAAAAAATAAACAATAAGTAAAAAAAAAACTCAACCCTACATATATTCTAATGTCTCTACATCATCAACTTAATGACAAGATAGAACTTAAAACCAGTATTTGTTTCATCTACATGAAAACTCATTCATGTCTGCAAAGACAAGAATGCGTACTGGAGCCCATTTTGTTATAACACAAATAACGGAGACAAATATTTACCAAGAGGAGAATGCTTAAATAAGTTACGGTCTATCCACAGTATAGAATACTACATAGCCACCAGAATGACAGAGAGGTCTGCATGCATTGTCATCAGAAATTGAAGAGGGAAAAGTAACCCAGAGTACAGCCTATTTTGAGTGATCTCATTTGTGAAAAATGTATGTGAACATTTTCTCTATCTAGTATCTATAACATCTATATTTATATAAATGCTATACAATTTATGAGAAATGTATAGAAATCTAATTGGAATATAAATTATCTCTGGAGAGAAGACTGAGCATTTCATTACCAAATGTATAAAAATTTTCCCTCAATTTTTTTCTCTAAAGATTAGTAAAATTTACAAACAACTAATACCAGCATGGCATATACCAGACACTCAGTACATATTGGTCTATTGCCATTAATTATTCTCTATTATTTCCATGTTTTCTCAATTATTTCTGTTTTAATTCTAAAAGTAAAAACCATCATGTTTATTTAGTGGCTAATGCCAGAGGCAAGATAAAAGTGCAACACACTCAATGGTATTGCTAGGCTCAATAAAATGAACTGCCTCCCCTGTTATTCTAACAATTATATACTATATCCCTTGCAGCTAAGTATATATTATGAAAAAATTAAACCTTCCCATAAAACTCTCTTATGATTTTTGATGAAGCTCAATATTTCTAGGATGATTAATTCTAGGGACATGTTTAAAATTTTGACTTACTTTTAAAAAGAGCAGATCTTAGGATTTTATTCTCAGAGCTACCTTCCCTGTTTTTTTTATTGCTATTCTTTCATGTTACCATGGAAACAGCATCTATTTTTATGGTTATTTAGTTTTGAATTTTTAAAAGTAGCCCCAACCCATAAAAATATTCAAATTTCTTTCTCCTGCTTTTACACAAAAGTCATAGCAAATGTTAATGTTGTTTTTTTTTTTAAGCATTTCCACTCCGTTACATTTCTAAAAGAAGGAGATTTATATTTCTAGACAATTATACCTTTAACCATTTCTCGTTGCAGGGGAGTTCTGGTGGTTTGGGGCTTTTTCTTTTAATTTTGGAGATATCAGGAAGAAATTGACTTTTCAGTAGTTGTTGGAAATATTTTTCTTAAACATTTAGACATTCAGATATCCAGCATGTTGTCCTTTCTTCACTATTAGCGCCTGACACAGTGCTTGGGATATTGTAGGCACCTAATGAAGACCAGTCAAGTAAAGAGAGAAAAGGATGTGTGGATGTTTTTGTAGCAGAACATTGTAAAAAACAAGACAGTAAGTGGATAATTCTTAGGAAATTCACCACTTGATCATCTTGAGGTGCTTTCTTTAAAACCTTAGTAGTAAAAGTCTTCTACCTCAAAGGATAATGACAAAATTCAATAGTCCATTCCTATATGTTCCTGAAATGCTTTCTTTTCATTAGCAAGTAATATCATGATGATCATTAAACATTCTCAAAAGAATGAAAATGAAGAATTTGATTAAAACTTGAACATAAACTTTTACAAGTGAAAAAAAGAATAATTTACTGCTTCAAAGTGTGTTACTAGAAGTTACCGATTGTCTTTTTATACTTCTGAAAAGATGACACAGATTCCTAGAAGCAGTTCCACGTCCCCTATAATGCTAATGACTCAGATTTATAACTTCACCCCCAACTTCTCTCCTGACCTCTGGGATCTACTGCTAATTAATAACTGGGAATCTTTACAGATATTTCAAAACCAGACTGAATGCATTTTTCTTCCCTTTCACACAATCATCCAAAATTAAAATCTGTCATACATACTTCATTTCTATAATTTGATTGGTCCCCAAATCCTGTATCTCTATGAAAATAATCTCCCTTGACTTCTCCCTCTAAGTTCCTTTAAAACCAGGACCTCTCTCTTTGTCCTAGCCTACATCTTCTTTCACCTGTGTGGTCAAAACTCATTGTTTCCATATATCATATCAATTCCATAAATACATACCATACATGCTACATTAGAATTAAAATCAGATTAAAATCTCCAGCAATTCTTCACTGCCTAAAAATAAAGTACAGATTCCCTAGTTCTGATATACACAGCCCCTCATAATTTCATCCCCTTTCGGCTTTCCAGCCTAGTCTCCCTTGATTTTCTAATAGTTCCTCGTGCTCGGGACACATCTCATAATTCTCCGTTCCCTGCATGCTCTGTGCATATTCATCCCTCTACAATTCACTAATACTGTCCTAATTGCACTATTGGTCAAATACTGCTCCACTCACAAACTTAAGACACGCTCACTGTTTAAAACCCAAGTAATTTAGTTTCTTTTCTGCTGCCTATTGGCTAGCAACTTCTTAACCTAAACAGGGCATATATTTAATGGATAAACTATAATTTATTTAATCAATCCCTTACTGTTTAATCCACAGTGTTATCTGTGAATTTTCATTGTTATAGCCTAGATTCAATGATACCCTTGTAGCTAAAATCTGGTGAGCTCCAATTCATATTTACTACTTTACAAATAATGTCTGGGAG